TTGTAAGAGAGTATAATGATCAACTGTGTCAAACGCTTTATGAAAATCAATATATACAGCACCAGTTACTGGACCTTTGTTCGGTTTGTTTGGTATTGTAGCACTGGCACACTAGATTTTGCTTATGAGCAACTCACATAACGACAAATCAACTGATGTGATGAGACAGTTGTCATTTGATGCGTCTGCATTYTCAAAGGTACAAAGGAAAGCTCTTTTGACATTGCCTCGACTGCATTGTTGTGTCCTCCTCGACGTAGAAAAGGTTTACTGACATCTCTGCATCCAGTAAGGCCTGAAACAACTGCTGAGCATTAGGAATATCTTTCCCATGGTTAACCAAGCTATCAGCAGTACATTTAAGCAATCCATTGACTCCATCTGGAGCACCCTTACTCTGACTTGCTGCAAAAAAGTTCCATGTTCCAGCCTTAAAGCCACATCTTTGTAGTTCAGTGCTGAATAGGAAAAAAATCTTATTTTACCAGTATTGTGTGTATGGCCCATCACTAAAAAAATGAACGCAGACTGAGGGATGGAATGTTTTGAAGTTAAGGACTGGGGAAAGATGAGCCCAGATGGTAGCAGGACCTTTCTTTTTTGAAGATGAAATAGAGCAGAAACACATGTGGTACTCCTCTCCACTCATGTGTACTACATCTGTGTACACTGTCGCCTGTTGTTGTGAAGAGGCAAAATGCACTGACGATCTCTGATGCATATTTGCAGGCACAGTTTCCATGACAAGTCCATATGAATCAGACACTCGTGTGGTTTCATTTATTTCTTCAGTTTATGATAGTGTTTGAACTGGTTRCCCCTGCAAAAGAGATGCCTCTTTAAGAAAACCATTTGACTCTGGAACAGGTCTAGAAGCTCTCCTAAGGAACTTTCACAATTCTTTTAGACTGTGACCCTACCAGGCACTTTCTCTGTTGTCTTATCTTTTATCTTTTTCCTTCTTTTCCCAATTTTTGTTGTCCACACGTGGGCCTCAGGGTCATAGGTAGTGCTAACTTAAAACTCCTTTTTTTCAAACAATGGATTCTCCATATATGCATCCTTTTCAGTGCTGCAGTATGTTGACTCACAATGCTTTCCAAGCTGTTGCTTTCTTCTACTTTAAGAAGCTGTAGCTTCTCAGAAAGGATTGACAAGTTCTCGTGAACTTTGCATGAGCWTGTTTCCCTGTCTGCATTGGTTGAAGTTACCACCCAGGAAGGGTGCATGAGGTAGAACAGCGAATAAGAGATGTTGCCYTTAGGATTTGTTGTCATTTGATCACTTAATAACCGTTTTGTTTCTTCTGCTTATTTCTTGTCTGACTTTTGCTTGCTGACATATGGCTGACATCAGTCCTGTTGAAAAAAAGTATGTACTCTCTCATGTAACTTTGTTCTCTTAGATGTGTATTTTGATCTTCTGAAGTTCATTTTTGTTGATCCATTTCTCAGGCCAAACCTTTTCCTTGACAGCTCAATACTTTCCTGAACTGCTTTCMGGAACTTGTGTTTCTTTATAATATATAACAGATAACTTGTGAAATGTTTTGTCTAGACCCTTCTGGTGTTGAACATTTGTTATTTTCTCTAATGTTTTGTGTAAGAGCAAGTTTTCATGACCTTATCAGAGACAGGATTGACCAACTAATTTGTTTTTTCTTCTTTTTTGAAGAAAGTTCATCTTTTTACAGTTTATGGTAATTGTCAGTCTTTTGTATCTGTGTTTTCAGATTTTTTCTAACTTTTCTACCATCRTGTCTWCACTGTAAAAATAACTTGTAAGATTTWCTAGAGAAAATCCTGTAAACAATTTGCACTAGCGTTTGTTAAGTAAATTTAAATGCTACAAATTCAAGTAATATTTACTCTCATCATTATCTAGTAAAAGGTATTAAGAATATAGTTAAAGATTTGTGAATAAATCAGGTAAATTTTACAAACTAACTATATTCTTAGTAACTTTTAGTAGATAATGATGAGTGAATATTACTTGAATTTGTAGCATTTAAATTTAACAAAAGTTAAGTGCAAATTGTCGAGGTTTTTTCAAGTAAATCTTACAAGTTCTTTATAACAGTGCACATGCATCAAGCACAATATTGTAGCATGACACCTCACAGC